GTGATCAGTTATATACAAATGAATACTTGCAAGACAGCCAGAATCCCTGCAGAATCTTGTCTACTTCGGTTATTGCCCATAAATTAACTTGATCCCAAAGAAGATTATAGCCGGAACATACGGAGAAACTCGAACAGAAAAATATACGAAAGATTGTTAAAGAATCAGACCGATAGGAGCAGTTTCTGAGAGACCTTAGTTTTGGTATGAATCAAAGAATTCCGCTTGTAAGTGGCAAGCTTCAATTACTCACGGATATTGCACTGTTGTAAGTAAGGGTGGTCATACAGCAAATGTTTGCTCCAATAGCCTTTGTATTTAGCTATTCCAATTTCCAACCAGGGTTTCATGAATCCATCATAGTGTATAACTGCTGCATTCTCGATATCAAACTGAGCAATGCCTGAATTATAACCCAGCCCAAGTGCATGCCATCTCTTTTCTAAAGCAACAGTCCGGTTGTAGAAGGTAATCCAACCTATGGGCAAGCCTCCAGCCTTCCACAGTCGACTCTTAAGTCCCTGTCACAAGACACGATACGAACAAGCCTGAGAAATGTGCAGCATGGAATAGGTTGTATGCTTAGTATGATAACCATAGTTAATCCTTTAAACATGCAAAATAATTCAAAATGAAATTGGTGATAGCTTTTGAATCGGAAATTTTACAGATTACTTGCACTAGAACAACGCAGCGTCAAAAAAGAAAACATGCAGTCAGGTCAATTAAAAAAGTTACTGTGGACATCTTTGGAGGAAAATTTATTTCCATAACTTTGAATTTACAAAAAAGAAAAAAAGATAAAAGAACCGTTAGATCATTTAACATACAACATGCAAGACACTTCAAATAGAAATTACTAACTATTATGAATATACCTAACTGCTGATATGGATTTTACGGTTGAAGAAGTTCTGGTAGAGATTTTTTTTTGCATATATCATTCACAGTTCACAGTAATACAAAGCCGTCGATGTATATTTTAATCAAATCCATGATTTTATCAACAGATCAAAAACAGAAAACGCAAAGCCACTACTTTTGAGAGAAAGAGAACCCCCCTGCGGTTAATAATGGAAAAGGGGCAAGAAAGATTATCCTATATTGAAATTTTAGACGGATCAAAGGAAATTTTAAGCGCTCCTAGTTGACAAACATAACCTAAAGCACATAGTGTCGAATGATGGGCCTTTTTATTCTGTTGGTGGATGATAGAGCTAGTGTTAGTTGGGAGATGTGTTCTATTGCATTTCTGCTAGTTATTGTTGGCCTTTTTTCTAAAGGTTGCATTGCGCTTAAGAGTTTCGAGCTTCTTGTCCTTTCCTCTTCATTGGTACAGTTTCAGCAAGTGTGGCTCTCCATGACTCAGGGCTAGTCTTTGGTCAAGCTCTGGTAGCGGGTGATGTTTTGTTTGATGTGTTGGGTTGAAATTTGGTTTGTTTGATGTTATAGTTTTGTGTTTTTTGTGATTATTACCACCTCAAGGCACACTATTTTTCCTCCATTTAGGATTAGGGAGATTTTTTAATGGGGTCCTTGAGGTGATGTACTTTATAACCTTTCTTAATACAAAGTACCTTCTTTCAAAAAAAAATGTGCAGCTTCAGAGAACTATAGAATCAATATAAATTAACAAGCATATAACATTAGCATAAAGAACACACAAACACAAATGAAAAGACAACAGAAGTATATAAATTCACGAACATCAAATCGATTTTGTAATCAAACAAAACCTTATTTAACCCATTCGAAATTGAGGAAATAATTTATGATTCAATTCAAAAAAATCAACTCACCTTAGAAATATATGATTTTGTAATCGGTTGGAAGCTGCTGGTTGAAGGAAAATGAAGAATTTGAGAGGAGAAACGATTTAGTGGTCGCGGAGTTTCTAAACCCTAATATTTGGGAATAATCGAGTCTCCCCCAGTTCATCTGCATGTGAGATATTTGAAACGAGTGTTTTATTTTGTTTAATTAAACTGAACATTTATTATGGGTTAAATAAGGTTTTGTTTCATTACAAAATCGAGTAGCAAGCTTGGCCTGGTGGCAAGAGACATACCATTTCACGCCCTTGCCCTAGGTTTGAGTCCCCTTCCTCGAAAAATGATTTTTATCCATTCTTCTCAATCCGCACCAATGGGAGAGCGACATGTGTCGTTCTCTCATTGGTATAAAATTCTCAAAAAATATCAATTTTTAACAAAAAAATTTGACGTGTCAATTCCACGTCAGCATACAATATTGACATGGACACGCCACGTCATCATTTGTATCCACGTGTGCTTGCTTAGTGAGCTGGTTGTGTTGATCGTCAGTTGACTAACGATTTACATCCAACGGGGGTGATTTTATAATCAAAATAAAACGTTGTGCGTCAAATGTTCCAAAAAAACAATATGGGCAAATTTGCATATACTGTCAAAGGTTAGGAGTATTTATTTTCATTATGCCTTTTAAAATCATACCTAAAATTTAATTTTTGTTTCATTTTAGTATTTTGTTTAAAATTTAACGCTAAGTTTTGGGGAAAAATGAAAGTTTAAGTATTAAAACGGACCAAAACTGATAGTTTATGTACTAAGAATGTTAAGTTTTTAATGGCGGGATACTAAAATAAAACAATAACTAAACGTTATGCATTATTTTGAAAAAAAATTAAAAGTTTAAGTAATAAAATGGACTAAAACTAATAGTGTAAGTACTAAACGTTAAATTTTTAACGATACGATATTAAAATGAAGCAAAAATTAAAGATATGATTTTAATTCATATTATTTTATGGCATTTGATTCATGATTTATATTTCAACATTATAGAAATTAAGATTGAAATTGACTAAAATACACTATAGAGATGGAACTATTTGTAATTCATGTATAATGGAAGGATTAAGAAGGTAATTTGACCGAAATTATTTCACAAATCTCTCCTTGTGGGCTTAAAACAAGAGAAGGCAAATAGAAGAAACAAAGCGGTAAATGACGCAAATTTCAGCGTTCATCAACAAAGAGAAGTGCATCGTCTTCTCCATTAAGCTCTCCAGCTTTTCTTCCACAAGCACATGCATCCCAATTCATCGACATTTCACTCCCGATACCATCCAAGAAACATTTCAAAGCAAGAATCATAACCCAAAGCGAATACTACAACAAGAACAACACCAACAAAGTATAGTTTCCCTCATAAAATCCACCGCCCATAAACCCCATTTACTTCAAATCCAAGCTCACATTACCCGTTCTTCCCTTCTCCAAAACTCCAGATTTTCCCTCCTGTTCCTATCCACCCTTTGTTCCTCTGCTCCCCGTGATCTTCGCTATTCCCGCCTTTTCTTCTCTCAAATCGAAAACCCAGCCGCCTTTCACTATAACACTCTCATCAGAGCTTACTCTTCCAGCAATTCACCTAAAGAATCCTTTTCTCTCTACAAAGAAATGAGACAAAAGGGTGTGAAGCCTGACCCCCATATCGTTTTCTTTCGTCATTAAATCTTGTATCAAGTTTCGTTCTATTTTTTGTGGTTTACAGGTTCATGGAAGGATTTTAAGAGATGGGTTTCGATCGGATTGTCTCTTATTTTGTTGGATTTTTATTCGAGTTTTGCCAGCCGGGAAGAGGCTTGTAAAGTGTTCGATGAAATGCCTCACAAAGATACCGTCGCATGGAATGTATTGATTTCTTGTTATTTACGTAATGGGAGGTCAAAGGACGTGTTAATGTTGTTTGATAGCATGAAAAATGAGAACTTTTGCCAACCTGATAATGTTACTTGTCTCTTTGTGACACAAGCTTGTGCTAATCTAGGGGCGCTAGAGTTTGGCGAAAAGGTTCATCGTTATATTGAAGAACGTGGTTACGGGAGTGCTCGTAATCTGTGTGATTCGCTTATTGCAATTTATTCTCGGTGTGGATGTTTGGATAAGGCTTATGATGGTTTTAAGGAAATCGGAGTAAGAACGTTGTTTCATGGAGTGCTATGATTTCCGGTTTGGCAATGAATGGATATGGCAGAGATGCTATTCTAGCGTTTGAAGAGATGCAGAGAATGAGGGTCTCCCCCGATGAACAAACCTTTACTTTACGGGAGTTCTTTCCCCTTGTATCCATTGTGGTTTAGTTGATGAAGGGATGGAGTTTCTTGATCGAATGAGCAACGAGTTTGGAATAAAGCCTAATATTCATCATTATGGGTGTATTGTCGATTTTTAGCTGTGCCGGTTTACTGGATCAAGCTTATCAGGTCATAATATCAATGAATGTTCAGCCGGATGCAACCATTTGGAGGACCTTGCTTGGAGCTTGAAGAATCCATGGTCATTTCACACTTGGAGAACGAGTAATCGAACATCTTATTGAACTTAAAGCTCAAGAAGCAGGCGATTATATTTTGCTATTGAATATTTATTCATCAGCTGGTAATTGGGAGAAGGTGATGGAACTGAGGAAGTTTCTTAAGGACAAAGGCACACAAACAACACCTGGTTGTTGTTCAATCGAGATTAAAGGAGTGGTACATGATTTTGTCGTGGACGACATTTCGTATCCACGGAAACACGAGATTTACGATAAGCTAGACGAGATTAATAAGCAGTTGAAGATTGCTGGTTATATTACTGAAATGACATCGGAATTACATGACTTGGGTGCAGAAGAAAAGGCAAATGCACTCTGTTATCACAGTGAGAAACTAGCTCTTGCGTTGGGGGTTCTAGCGACTCCACCTGGTGTAACATTGAGAATTACCAAGAATCTTCGTATTTGCATTGATTGTCACAAGTTTGCAAAGTTTCATTTCTGGGGTGTATAACAGGAAGGTAATAATCCGAGATCGAACCAGGTTTCATCATTTCAGAGACGGACACTGCTCTTGTAATGACTATTGGCAGAGAAGTTTTAGGGTTGAACAATACAATCTGCTCTCTCCGAGTTATTTTAAGAATGTGTTTGAAACTCGGTTTTCCCTATAGAATGTGTTTGAAACTCGGGTTTCCTTATAGAATCCGACTGCAACCCAGATGGGATTTCAGAATGGTGTTGAACCTCATGTTCTTGAACCACAGACATCCTTATAGAATGATTTTGAACCTCGATTTTCCTGATAGAATCTGGCTGCACCCCAGTTTGAATCTTAGAATGGTGTTGAACCCCATGATTTTGAACATCAATGTTACTTCGAGAATGTCTTATCGATTCAATTTGGCTTCGAGAAATTGATCGACTTCGAGAATTGGACTGAAACCCAGGTTGATTGTCAGTTCGGCATTGAGAATATCGTATGGACCCAGATGAATTGTCGGGACGGTGTTGAACCCCATGTTTTTGAGCATCAAAGTTATTTTGAGTACGTCTTATGGACTTGGTTCGCCTTATAGATCGACTTGGAGAATTTGACTGAAACCCAGGTTGATTGTCGGTTCGACTTTGAGAATATCGTATGGACACAGATGAATTGTTGGGATGGTGTTGAACCCCATGATTTTGAGCATCAAAGTTATTTTGAGTACGTCTTATGGACTTGGTTCGCCTTATAGATCGACTTGGAGAATTTGACTGAAACCCAGGTTGACTGTCGGTTCGACTTTGAGAATATCGTATGGACCCAGATGAATTGTCGGGACGGTGTTGAACCCCATGATTTTGAGCATCAAAGTTATTTTGAGTACGTCTTATGGACTCGGTTTGCCTTATAGACCGACTTGGAGAATTTGACTGAAACCCAGGTTGACTGTCGGTTCGGCTTTGAGAATATCGTATGGACCCAGATGAATTGTCGGGACGGTGTTGAACCCCATGATTTTGAGCATCAAAGTTATCTTGAGTACGTCTTATGGACTCGGTTCGCCTTATAGACCGACTTGGAGAATTTGACTGAAACCCAGGTTGACTGTCGGTCCGGCTTTGAGAATATCGTATGGACCCTGATGAATTGTCGGGACGGTGTTGAACCCCATGATTTTGAGCATCAAAGTTATCTTGAGTACGTCTTATGGACTCGGTTCGCCTTATAGACCGACATGGAGAATTTGACTGAAACCCAGGTTGACTGTCGGTTCGGCTTTGAGAATATCGTATGAACCCAGATGAATTGTCGGGACGGTGTTGAACCCCATGATTTTGAGCATCAAAGTTATTTTGAGTACGTCTTATGGACTCGGTTCGCCTTATAGACCGACTTGGAGAATTTGACTGAAACCCAGGTTGACTGCCGGTTCGACTTTGAGAATATCGTATGGACCCTGATGAATTGTCAGGACGGTGTTGAACCCCATGATTTTGAGCATCAAAGTTATCTTGAGTACGTCTTATGGACTCGGTTCGCCTTATAGACCGACATGGAGAATTTGACTGAAACCCAGGTTGACTGTCGGTTCGGCTTTGAGAATATCGTATGAACCCAGATGAATTGTCGGGACGGTGTTGAACCCCATGATTTTGAGCATCAAAGTTATTTTGAGTACGTCTTATGGACTCGGTTCGCCTTATAGACCGACTTGGAGAATTTGACTGAAACCCAGGTTGACTGCCGGTTCGACTTTGAGAATATCGTATGGACCCTGATGAATTGTCAGGACGGTGTTGAACCCCATGATTTTGAGCATCAAAGTTATCTTGAGTACGTCTTATGGACTCAGTTCGCCTTATAGACCGACTTGGAGAATTTGACTGAAACCCAGGTTGACTGTCGGTTCGACTTTGAGAATATCGTATGGACCCAGATGAATTGTCGGGACGGTGTTGAACCCCATGATTTTGATCATCAAAGTTATTTTGAGTACGTCTTATGGACTCGGTTCGCCTTATAGACCGACTTGGAGAATATGATTGAAACCCAGGTAGACTGTCGGTTCGGCTTTGAGAATATCGTATGGACCTAGATGAATTGTCGGGACGGTGCTGAACCCCATGATTTTGAGCATCAAAGTTATTTTGAGTACGTCTTATGGACTCGGTTCGCCTTATAGACCGACTTGGAGAATTTGACTGAAATCCGGATTGATTGTCGGTTCGGCTTTGAGAATATCTTACGGACCTAGATGAATTGTCGGAACGGTGTTGAACCCCATGATTTTGAGCATCAAAGTTATTTTGAGAATATCTTATGGACCCAGTTCCTCTTACAGAAGTCGATTGGAACCTAGGACGATTGTCGGTTCAGCTTCGAGAAATTGATCGACTTGGAGAATAGGACTGAAACCCAGATGAATCGTCGGAACGATGTTGAAGCCCGTGATTCTGAGCATCGGGGTTATATTGAGAATATCTTATGGACTTGGGTTGACTTCGAGAATTCGAATGAAACTCAGATTGACCGTAGAAACGGTGCTGAACCCCATCATTTTTAACATCAGAGTTATTGATGTTATTCATTTCGTAATTGAGCACTAGCAGAGGGAGAATGCTAAGATGCTGAAATTATTGATAGTTGTGCTGTTCCTTCTCTCTCTCTATATATATATGCAAAATAAAGGTTTGATTATGAAAAAATAATGCTGAAATTCTTTCGAGATGCTTTGCTACGAATTTGTCTCTTTGTTTGCGTTTTGCATTAAAATATAGGGTGTTAAAACACCTTTTCATCCTACTAGGATTTAAACTCCTAAAAATATGATAAAATTTTGCTAGGATTCAAATTCCTAAAAATATGATAGAGTTCTACTATTATTTAAACTCCTAAATATATGATCTACAAACATTATAAATAGTCATTGTAACTTACTATTATAACACATTCGAAGGAGGATATACGAAATACCAAACAAAAAATTATAAGCAACTTGTAGCCATTTTTCAAAACATTTATATTTTGAAAGGTAAAGTTCATACCTTCGCATGTTATTTTTCCTTACCCTTGCTGTGTTTTGATTTCGAAACAAAACTGAGAGAAGTGTTTTTGGCCGATGAACGGGGGCGTTTTCGAGATCTATTTTTGTAGATCTAGTCCCCGATGCTTGTGTTTTTGAAAAACTATTCGGATTTTTATAAACGGGTCGTGTGGATCCTCGTGTTTTGTCGTTTTTTTCTTCGATTGACTTTTAATTTTGACATTTAATTCATTTTTTTAATTTAACCCTTATTATTTATATGTATATATGTATATATTTAATTATATTTTATTTATTTATTTATTATAATTTTTTTATTTTTCTCTGCGTTATATTATATTATTTCCTATTATTATATATATATATATTTATTATTTTTTATCTATGTTTACTTATTTACTATGTTTTTTACTATATTTCCTAACGTTATATATATATATTCTTACTTTATTTTATTTTATATTTATTATTATTATTACTATTTAGTATTTTTTAGTTAATATTTTTAGTTTCTTTGCTTTTATTATTATTTTTCTTTTTTTAAAAAAACACTTTACATTTTTTATTCTTTTTTTATATATATATTATCTTCATTTATTTTATTTTATTTAATTTCATTTTTTTCATCAAATTATTTATGTTTATTATTATGGTTTCATTTATTTCCTTGGTTTACTCTTTAGTTTTGTTACTTTCTTTTATTATTATTATTTTCTTTTAAAATGTTAATTTTAAGGGTATTTCTGTAAACTCATTGAGGGTAAGTAATTCGGATCAAATTTTACCTTTTTAATTTAACTTGCAATTTTCTTAATCAAAGAAAACTGGAAATTACGTAGTACCGAAAGGAAGGTTCAAAGGTGCTAATCATTCATTGACCGTAACCGACTCCCGAACCCGACACATCTTTGGAAAGACGCAGATCAGGTAAGAAATAGGGTATCCGATCAAACCATTTGTTTTAAATAAATGATCGGTGGCGACTCCAATCCACATTTTTCAAGTCGAAGCCCAATTTCGGGGCCCAACCGAAAAGCGGTTGCGACAGCTTGGCGACTCCGCTGGGGAATCTTGTAAGTGAGTCAGGCTAAGGTAATTTCCAGTTGTCTTTTTAATGAAAAGGGTAAGTTTAAATTTTAAGGTAACGTTTCTATCCTTATTACTTACTTTTGATTATATTTTCGAGTAAATAGTTGTATTGACCGTTTTTTAATGATTTCAGCCCCTAAAGATTTTTCATCCAAAGGCTCTATACCCGAGCTCCGAACCCGTTTTAAGTGGGGGTGAAAGCGACGCATTCGTGTGAATTTATTCATCGTATGGGCCTAGCAAGCAACCTTCGGGATTCATATACCTTATGCATTCGTGTGAATTTATTCTCCGTATGGGCATAAGAGAATGTTTCCTCTCGAGTTTAACTTAGTCCACACAAGCCTGTGATGAGTTTAGGACTAAGGGTCTGGTAAGCCTAAGGGGGCACCGACAAGGAGAACTCGAGTACTTTTTTTTAGAACCTAAACCCGGAGACTACAAGGAGTTAGGGCCCACCCCAAAACCTCGTTTTAAACCCTAGGATGCCAAAATTATTTTCTGCTTTACTTTCTGTTCAAAACATGTGAACTAGAAATTTATGCGGTTAGGACTTGTTCAAAATTAACTTGCGGGATAGAGATCATGTCCGGGTAGGAATAATAAGCATGTGGGGTAGGACTTTTATTTTCATGATTGCTTTGATTATTATCTTTACCTTACTAACTCTTTTCATTTTTTCCTCTTTTATTTTATTTCCATCATCTGTATCATTCAAAAGAGGTGTTGATCCACCAAGAAAATGTGTTCGTTAACCATAAATAATCTGCATTAATGGACAAAGGTGTTGTAATACAGGAGATTAAAAACCCCGAGGTACGACTATGGTCCGAGAAGACTCAGAAAGAAAAGGGAGACAGTCTTCAAGGAAGTTATGTGTCAGAGCTTGTTAGCTATGCCTCTATCAGCCTAAAACAGAACAATGTGCAAGAACTTCGAGACATCTGGGACAGTTGGAAGAATGATCGAAAACATAAGTTCAGTAAGCAGTATGGTGACATTGCCCTTTTGCTTCATGTTAAGACCGGTGAGCCCTTAATCAGAGCCTTGGTTCAATTCTGGAACCCGGGATATAGTTGCTTCACTTTTAACCAAGAGGACATGGTACCTACCATCGAGGAGTATACTACACTATTGCACTGTGAAAGCATTAAACTGGAGCAAGCCTACATCAAACACATCAAGAGTCAGCCTTTCAAGAACATATTGGCTAAGACTGCAGGAGTAGATGAAAAGTGGGTGACTGACCAACTCCGAAACAAAGATAACGGGCAATGAATTCAGGGGATCCACATAAGGAAACTAATGAATGACCACCCTGATGAATAGAAGACTATAGACCTTTTTTGCACTAGGTCTGTATGGCTTGATCATATTTTTGAAGATTTTGGGATGCATTGACGCAGCCGTGGTGGAACTGTTTGAGCAACTTGCGAAACTAGTCAACCCAGCACCAACCATCTTAGCCGAGACCTTTCGGTCTCTCAACTATTGCCGAAGAGCTGGCGGGGGTAGATTCATTGGATGTGTTCAGCTCCTTCAAGTCTGGATTCACAACCACTTCTGGAAGACTAATTAGGTTGCCTATCGCCGATTTAGCACTACGTATTCACCTTTAAGAGAGTTCATCACCATGAAATGACATGAAGGAACTTCAAAAGATAAGTGGATAAAAGTCTTCACTCATCTATCAAGACCGAGATATTACTTGGAGAGCCCCTTGGTTGTTCCACAGTGTCGTTCTTTTCCAATATGGGGACTCTGACACTATGACCTTACCTGAACTTTGGGATGCAGTTGGGTATGCTCCATTGTTAGCACTTAGACATTATGGGGCACGTCAGTTTGTCCTAGCAACATGCGGACTAGCTAAATTAGAGTTTGAGTATCACGGTGACAACTATAAGAAGATGATCAAGGAAGCAGTCGATTCATGGAAGAAAGTATTCCGGATTGATGTTGTAGCTGCCAGAAACATGCTTACTCCGGACTATGTGGAGTGGCGAAGATTGAGAAAAAATGACAATATCCCGGTGCCAGACTGTGAGGACACCTGAACCTTGGAAGAACATCTCAGGCCCGTCTTTTTTGAACTTGAGATAGCCAAGATAGAGTTTGAAGCTGTGAATAACGAGCTGAAGCAGAGGGTAAAGGAGCTTGAAGCTGAGCGCTATCAGTGGAAGCTAGATGTCGACTCTTAGAAAGATCGAGCAGATAAACTTGAAAAAGAACAGAAAAAAGTCTGTTTTGAGCTCGAAGACTTGAGAAATGGGTATCAAGATAAAGTCAAGGATAACTCCAAGTTAAAAGTGGCTTCTGAATACTGGAAAGACGAAGCTCATAGCCTGAAAAGAAAGTTCGAAGGGCCTGATGAGAGAGCTTGGAAGGAACAAATGAAGACTGCCCAGAGGCGCTTAGCAGACAGTCATAATCAAAACCAATGCTTGAGAATCCAAATTGCTAATCTGGAGAAACAACATGAGAGAGATGACAAAACAATAGCTGAGTTAAAAGCTATTGTAGATGGGTTCAAGAAGAAAGTGAGCGAGCTTCAGATAGTGCTCTTCGATGGAGGTTTACAATGGCGTTTTCGTTGGGAGCAAGCACAACAAAGGGTGAAGGCCAGAGACACAGTCATCCGAGACTTCCTGGATCAAGTACAGAAGGCAGCTCGTCATCTACACGGCCTGGCAAGGGAAGCTGGAATGGTCTGACAAGGCATACAACCAATGACAGATGAAGACAGAAGACTTGTCAACCTACTAGAAGCTGTTCGGGGTCTAGAGGATTTAGTCTGAATGTACCTTTGATCGTTTTTATGTCTCTTACAAGATAAAACATTTTTGTCTAAGTAAAGATTATTTATAATAATGGACACTTTTCTGGATCAATGCCTCAAATATTTCATGTATTCTTGCATTTTTTCCTTTTTGCATCTTCATCTACATTTTCAAGCATTTTCACAAACATGAAATTAAGTCATGAAGGACTCGATGAAGTGGATTTAACCACATGAAAGCAAGATTGTAACATTAAAGAGCCTGATCAGTTGATGGTAGAACAAAGCCGGCCAGGATGATCTAAGAAAAGAATCCCCATATCCTAAGGACTACGATGTTGAAGCTATTATGTGTTACCACATAAGAAGCCCCAAATATTCCTCTGAGAACTATAAGGCGCTGAAGCGCAAGATCCAAAACCTGATGGATTCAGGGGCATAAACTGCCGAAGAAGGGGGCATGGCATATACCATTTGCACTTAGAGGATTGTTTTGTTTAAACACGTCTCTAATCTTTCATCGTTTGCTTAATCTTTTAAAGGATTGAATTTATGCTACTTTCTAAGGTGGAGCAATTGAACAAATTCTAATCTTTAGTTCTTCGAATATTAAATGAATTAAGGATTCTTTTAATTCTTCAAGAATTATAGATTTTTGACATATGGCAAGGTTAGAC